CTCTGAATGTCCTTCAAGAAGCCTGGCGAACTATTCCTGAAGACATGACATGAAAGCTCCCTTAGAGGGTTCAGATTGTGTGGAAGAATAAAGGTTGTCATGCCAAATATTGACTTTAAAGCTCATTAGAATTGTACAAACTCTGTTCTTGCCTTACATACTGTATTTCCCTGTATCTTTGCATACTTTTTAATAAATAATTGCACCTACTTCCAATTTTCCTACCATAATATAAAGAAATGAGGGGTCACTTAAGACCTTTGCACATCTCTGGATGTTTGTTTGATGTGTTGCATTCAAGTGCAATTTACAAGCGACTTGTTTGGTTGGTAGGTCACACACACCCTCTAGTGGTTTTATCCTACCCTACACTACACTCAGTAGCGGTTTTTGATATGGGCGACACGGGCAAAAGAAAGTTGCTTGCACCCATGCTGCCCCGACATCATGACAGCGCATTTTGGGGATTGCATGGGCACCGATCGGTTTTCTATCGCCCATTTGCGAGGACTAAGGGCGCCATCGGTTTGCGACGTGCGCCTTCTGCTTGCGGCAGGGAGGACAGGACGGGGCGGCGGGGGATTTAATAACCAGCTCGCAAAATAAAACAAAATAAAAACAAACCAACAAACACGAAAACAGCAGACATTATGATACAGACTTATAATTTGCACTGCATTTAATGTTTTTTTCTAAATTCTATACGCGAAAAGCGAGCGTCAGAGCCCCCGGTGCGCCTGCTCGCTGCTGAAGTCAAAGTAAACTTTATTGTCATCTCCGCTACATACAGAACAGTATATAGAGACACGAGACGACGAGGCTCCAGTTACAGCAGTGCACGAAAACAAACAATAAACATAAGAAGAGTAAGAAAATAAATATACGTTTTAGGACTCGGGGTAAAGAGATCAATAACAAGTTAAAATTTATAATTTACAGTTTAATGATCTAAAGTCTCACATACAACCTGTCAAAAGGGGAGGGGGGCGACTGCTTCCAAATAGAGCACATTTCATTCATAATGTAAATCAGAGCCCATTATGTACTCATGATTTGTTCCTGGGTTGTGTGAAATCTCAGAAATAAACTAAAGTGAATCTGAGAACTAAGGTGTCGGTGTGTTAGATTATGTTGTGGTGATCCTCGGGCTGGGGGATGGGTGTTCATACTGGAGTGCAAAATTAAAACCAATGGAAGACGGACAAGAAAAGTTCAAAGCCATCAGGTGCTCAGTTTAGAAAAAAGAGAAAAGAAGAGGAGGAGAAACGAGCAAAAGATACAGGTAAGCAGATGTGTCATTGGATGATGGCAGGTCATCCTGAAACAATCAGACTCAGAATACTTTATTAATCCCTAAGGAAATAACGTGAGTTACAGTTGCTCCAAGAAGAAATGGTAAAAATAGTAACAGTAACAGACTTAACTCCAAATAATACATTATGTTACAGATTTTAAGAAATAGCACTAATATATACAGATCACTCAATTATAAATATCAAGGATTAACAGAGGTGATTATAAATAAATATCAAGAAAATTGACAAGAATATTACAGAGTAGAAAAAAACGTGTGCAAAAAGAGTGTATTAGATGGAGCAGTTGTACAGGGAGATGGCCACAGGTAGGAATGGTTTCCTGTGTCGGTCAGTGGTGCTTTTTGGTAATATCAGTGTCTCTCTGAGCGTGCTCCTGTGATTAGCCAGCATGTCATGGAGTGGGTGGGAGGTATTATCCATGATTTTCCTTATCTTGGACAACATCCGCCTCTCAGACACCACCCTAACGGAGTCCAGCTCCATCCCCACAACATTACTGGTCTTGTGGATACGTTTATTTAGTCTGTTGGCGTCTGTGACCCTCAACCTGCTGCCCCGGCATGCAACAGCAAAGAGGATAGCACTGACCACAACAGAGATACAACAAAATAACATTAATTAGTAGGTATAGTGATGTTTGTTAGCCACTTGGTTATGATAGTAAACAGTAGACACTGATGTAGCTTATTGAATCTTTTGGACTGTGTTCAGCACAATATTAATTAGTCATTGTCAACTTTGATTTGTCCTGTTCTCATCGTATGACGAATTATAATGGCTGTTTGTTAGCCGTACTACTATGCATACTCGCTCTCTCCATATATATATGTGTGCGTGTGTGTTTGTATGTTTATCTGGTTAAATTCAGCATGGTTCCGAAACAGTTTTTACAATAAAATATGTTAATGTACAATCCTTAATATGTTTTATGTGTGGGGTGTGGGGTCAGAGGGAGTGTTTGCCCAGGGCACCAAACAGGCTAGGACCGCCCCTGCTTACACTCTAAACTTATTGGTGCTCAATATAACGTTTGACGAATGGAAATTAAAAATAGAAAAAGAGGTAGTCAAAGGAGCTTGCAAAGAAAAGCGTCTGGACTTCTTTAAGTTACTTGAAGACGTTTCACCTCTCATCCGAGAAGCTTCTTCAGTTCTAAGGTCAAGTGGTGGAGAGTCCCAGAGTCCCACAATGAACTCACCCGAAACTCTGGCTGATTGGGACCCACACCCAGTTTCACACCTTGGCTCAGGCGATTAGAGGATCATCAGGGGGTCCTTTTGTCCCTCTGTGGGGGGAAACTCCCACTAGGTTTATATCTGGGACTCTCCACCACTTGACCTTAGAACTGAAGCTTCTTGGATGAGAAGTGAAACGTCTTCAAGTAACTTAAAGAAGTCCAGACGCTTTTCTTTGCAAGCTCCTTTGACTACGATGACCTGGATGACTGAGAACCTTCAGACAGAAAAACAGGTATATTTTCTTTGTGTTTCAATAATCATTCAGCAGCTCTGTAAATTAAATGAGAATTAAAGGGGGACAAAAAAATTTTTGCAAAATATCTTAATTCAGTTTTTTTTTAATATATATGATCAGCACCTAAAAGAAAGTCATGGATAGCTGAACTTTCACACTACATAGTTGCTGAAAGTGTCTCCTCTGGGTCGGTCTTCTGCCAACTGGTTGTACCGGGAGCCACCAGGCTGGGCTGAAGGTGCAGCTGGAGCTGGGACTGCCAAAAGTTTTGAGGTTGTTAGTCCAATTATTTGCACTTAACATCCAAAAATGTTTTAAATAAAGATCACTGTAAGAAAAAGACAAAAGAAAATGTGAAAATGTGCTTACCTCTGTTAGCAAATGGGGCATTGAACTGCTGTCTCCTTCTCAAGAACACCTGTGGAAACAAAGCCTGGGTATTCATGCGCTGTGCATAAAGGGCAACAACTGTTTGGCTCTTTAATTTGTGCCGCTCTGACTCTTGACTCACCTCCTCGCTGCTCTCTGAGCTGGAGCTGGAGCTGCCATCGTGGCCGCACCTCAGAGAGACCACCTGGGGAGACCTGGCCATCATTCGTACCCGGGTGGAACAGGTGAAGGAGGGCTGAAGGTGGGTAAAAGAGAAAGAAACAAGAAAAAACCCTGCTTTATTAGTCTGTGTGATATTTCTTTAAATACCTGGTGGCCGCTGTGCGTCAATCACACAGGGGCACGTTCTGGCCCAGTAAACTCGTGCCAATGTAAACAACAGGCTGTAGCACTGAGTCAACATGTGTCCACACCAGGATACAGATATCAGCCCTTCACAGGGAACCATCCACATAATATTCCAGCTTCTGACGTGGCTAATTTATTTATTATCTCACTGAAGTATTTGGAAAGCATTGGTTTAAATGTCTCACCACAAAGAAGCCGGGCCTGAAGGCACAGGCCTGAGGGTCGTCTTGGGAAGTCTTTGCACACTGAGTCTCCTTAATCCGAAAAACCATCAGCAGGTCGACGGTGTCCAGGCCCGTGGGGATGACCTGTCGCACGTGGGATATTCAGGACAAATCAGCTGTTGCCATACTGTTAAATGCATTAAGCACACAACAGGCTCACCTTTGCGACAGAGCCTGTAGTGACCCGGTAAAGGTGGCTGGCAGCATACACAGAGTTGACCTCTGCCAAAGCTGCTCCCAGAGCGCTGTCTGCCGCAGACTGCAGCTCAGAGTTGTGAAGTGGGATGCCTTCAAAGTCACAGACGAGGAGGAGGGAAAGGTGAAGTTACTGAATCTTATTTTGAAGTGATCAGGACAGAAAGTTACTCACCTGTGCATCCAAGAGACAGCAGCAGGGCTGGGAGGAGCACGTATGACTTCATCTTGACGATGGGCACCAAACCAAAATGCCTCAAAGGTTCATCTACTTCTCTCTAAATATACTCAGCACTGAACCTGTGCACCGCCTCTTAAACTCCATAACCCCTTAAAAAAAAGCCTCCCTCTCTTGCACTGTCCTGTCTGCCCAGCTTCCTTTTATGTCCTTTGGGTGCATTCCAGTACCCACACTACCATACGATGTCCTAATACACTGTACGTCAAATGCAATGTGACAAACAACTGGGATGTCCTGCTGCATGCAATATGTTAGGCATGCTTTTGGGCCATTCTGATCCTGAGTCCTCTACATGAATGGTAGGAGGTTCAAAGTTCAATATGATAAAGCAGTATGTCCCAGTCACATGCCCATTGTAAGGATGATAGAAATGTGTACTGAGTGTAAAAACAAAAAGAGAAGAAAGGAAAATAAGGTGAGTCCAGGCTGATGTGCTAAATTAAATTAGTAAATATTTGTGCATCCTCTATATGAGACTTTCTTAAATGTATGAGAAAAATTCTGATGATTTGGAAGCTACTCGAGACCCTTTATGATATATATTTGCAAACTTATGATGCAATTTAAGGAAAACTGTCTCAATCCACCTTAAATATCCACTTGTTCTGCAGCGATGACGAGACTGATAACAGCTCTGAGAAATGCTTTTGCATACATAAAGTGGTTTTTATTTCAGTCATGTTAATCTCCCCTCGGTTTTCTTCATCTTTACAGATCACTGACCCCATCTGTCACAGCACATTTCAACTTCAGGTCAGGTTCGGGCACTTTGACAATTTATAGGCCTGATAAGAACAGTCCAGACTGTAGTTCTCAGCTGTTAGCAGTTTATATAGTGAGACACAAAAGCAACAATCCCTCCCACTCACTGTATGTTTATTACATTCATCCTTGATATCAAAAATACATTCTGGAAATGTGAGGAACTCGAACTCTTGTAAACAATGAATGTTTCCTGTTATTTTGCTCCCTTTTCAGCATAGTTTAGCACACGATTTGTTCCCCTTCAGACACAGTTCAGCCCAAAATGACTTGATTCTATCTAACACACAAAGAATAAATGTTCAGTCAAATTAATTTCGCTTTAATCATGTGGGGGAGTATCGTTTAAAGTTTCAGAGCACTAATGTGCAGCGATCACGTTAGAAATAAAAAGCAGCACTGAGAGCGCGCTCAGCGTTAAAATAACGAACTTTAATTCAAATGTTTATTTTACGACTCTGTGGACTAAATCACCATATTAATGACTTTCCTGCTTTACTTGCAATTTTAATGTAAATTTTTTAATCATAATCTGATAACATCTCTGATTGGAGTACATGATGCTCATCCTCATTAAATGAGGGATTTAGGCATCAGTCAGCCACTATAACACATCTTAACACCGCTCTGTTGTGCTTTTATCCAGCTGTTTTGGAGGCCTCTTGAATATGAAAGAATATATTCTGAATATAGTTGCCACTGGCCTTGTAGTACTCAGAAGGATCAAAATGCTGCTTTTCTTTAAAAAAAACAAAAAATTACGATGACGCTCAAAGAACCATAAAGTTTTATTACTTTATTTCTACCGTCTATGGCAAACCTACCAAAACAATCCAGATGGATAAATGTCATCACAGTAGATCCACTTTGGGGTGAAACATCCGTTTAACACGCACCACGTTAACAAAACTGGAACAACAGACAACGATTAACTACAACTTCTAAACACAGGATTGTGGATGAATTCACACCCACTACACGAAGAACATTTTCATTACTTACATTAAGATTTACTATCGGAGTCATATTCACGTTTTATGGGAATGACTTTGATCCTTGAGTTGAGCAGTGTGCTCAAAACATCACTTAGTTTTGTTCTGTTTTGTGGGTTTTTCACCCCAAATTAGAGCCTTCAGTTGTTCTGATTCAAACTTTATTCTCTCTCATTTCTACTTTTAGGAGAAATCCTGGAACTAACCTTTCAATACCTGTATTTGGGAGTCTTTTATCCACAGCTCTCTGCTTGAGCTCATGACTGATCTGCAGCCCTAAGTGCATGAGAGGAAAGGTGCTCCAAGTATCAAACATCACAACACGTGCACAAACACACATGTAGAATAATTCCTCCTCTCATCGCTCGAGTGTTCCTATGAGTGGCTCAACAGCGGCTAGAAAGCAGGCTTCAAACTCCTGATCTGAGAAGCGAGCCACAGACTGACGCGCGTTGCGCCTGATCTGCAGGCAGCTGCTTGGCGGCATAGCCAGAATCCTTTGGATGGCTTCTGCATAGCCGTCCTCGTCATCAGCAAGAAAGCCAGTCTGACCCCCCTCAAAAGGTACAACAATGTCCAACTTGGGGCCGCCAGACTTGTGAGCCAGAATCACCTTCCCTGCTGCCATACACTCCACGACACCTAGAAGGGGGGAAAAAAGAGAAAGAAGTTGGATATTTTCAAGAAAATCCCGTTTTAAAATAGACATTATGTCAAACGGATTGATTACCTATTCCAAAGTGTTCATTCCACATGGTATGAAGTCCGATTGTAGCTTCCCCCATCTCTCTCTTCAGCTCCTCAAAGGGTACGTTCAGCTTAAACTCCACCCTGTCAGCCACACCCAGCTCCTGGCACAGCCCCCTCAACATGAGCACTCTGTCTTCATCTTCCTGGTTCCTGCATCCACCAATCAGAACCAACTTCAGTGCCTCTCTTCCCCCTAACCCCTCCCTCCTCCTATCAAGCACCTTTTTAAAGGCTCGAATCTGCAGCCGGTGGTCTTTCTCCGGCCTGAACTGCCCAATTGAAATGATCGAGTGGCACTTCCTGTCCCCGTCCTCTTCGAGCGGGATGTCTGTGAAAGCACTGACGTCACAGGGCGGGTAGACCACACAGGTGCGGTTGGGGGAGCGCCACAGTGATAGGATATGATCGAGGGTCCAGGAGGAGTTGACCATGATCAGGTCACTGCAGGAGCCGGCCATGCCGTAGAGCAGGGCGAAGAGACAGTAGTAGACCACCTTAAAGGCACTCAGGAAGAGGCTGTTGGAGATGTAGTCTGGGTTGTTGAACCTGAGACATTAACAGTGTGAGACGGTTAGAAAACAGCTGTTTAAAAATTAATTAATTAATTAAGAACACAATCAGTTAACGTGCTCTTTGAACACAGCGTATACCTGGGGTTTCTCTCTCTGACTACAGAGAGCATGTCAGTGCTGATGGTGGGGTAGTGAACATAGCTAGCCACGCTGCAGCCTCCCAGGTAGCGGAACAGAGGCAGAGTAAAGGCATAACCCATGGAGTCGATGTAAATGTCTGGGACAAACTCTGTCAGTGCCTCCCACCCCAAGAAGACAGATCCCACGCTCTGTCCCAGCAGGGTGAAGTGAGGAAACAGTCCGGGCTCCACGAGTAGCCGGTGCCTCAGGAACACAAAGTGAACCGGGCGGGGGAGCAGGATGTTGAAGCGACGTCGTGCTCCCTCCAGGATCTGCTGGCCTGTCACCCCCAGGTCCCCTGTGTACACCACAAAATTGATATCTGCATACCTGTGGAGACATGGAGGTCTTTTAGGACTTTTGAGAATCACCTTAAAATTGTGCAGGAAAAGCAAAAAGACACCCAGCTCTACCTGTTCTGCAGCGCTCTGATAGCACACCAAAGCACCCTCTCTCCTCCTCCCCCAGCATTACAGTAAGGGTGAAAGAAGGCCACAGTGGGACGTCCGTCCCTTGCTCGCCGCACAGTCCTGTTGCTCTGCAGCCAGAAACGCACTGCCAGCACCAGCAGGACCAGGACAGCAACGAGCAGAACACACAGGAACAGCAGGGGCAGCAACAACTTCCACAGTAAACTGAAAAACATGGGTAGAAAATGCTGAGTAGTTCTGTTAACCTGGGTTATAATTCATAAACACACTGAAGATGAAGCTTTAGAGAAAGAACCAGAAAGGAAAATACATCCAGGAGATAGAGAAGACAATACATGGTAAAATCCACAAAGTAAAAGACATCAGAAAACAAGGTATAAACCTTTGTGCAAGAGAAGCTGAAACCCACACAGAGACATGGAGAGCAGTCAAACCACACAGAAAGGCTCCAGCTGTGACGTGACAGTGGTAACCCCTCCACCGACATGCTCTCTTGTCCGCGTCAAGGCACTCTGTGACCCCTGTATGACCCCTGTTTCTTTTATGCACCATGTATGATCACACCTGTATTACTTTACACTGTTTGAAGATTTCCCAATGAAAAGCAGGTTCTGCGGGAACCTGAGCAAATGTGAAACAGGCAGTTCTCGCGACAGTGTCAAGGTGTTTTGCCATAAAGTGATAAAGTCTTTCTACATGTAATATTTGTTTACCTTTGGTTAGTCAACAGGATTTACAAAGGGGTTATATATAAAATGAAAAAATAAATAAAAAAGATTTGTTTGGCAAGTATCTTTATAACCCTGCATTATTGTAACTATATTATAATCAATCCAGTTTTTAGACAACTTGATACAACTGTGAAAAACGCATTGTTTTTAATGTCAATGAAACGACTTTGCAGGAAAAAAATGATTGCAGTATCTACCTTGTATCAGGAATGGGTTTTTTCTGGCTCAAAATGATTTGACATCATTAGCGAGATATGTTTGGTTTATATTTTTTGGCAGGCAATCACTTTTTAGAACAACAGGTTCCTCTCGACCTCTGTCACTATTAACCCGCTGGTGGAGCTAAAATTCAACAGATATGGGTCAAATTTAACCCGGAAGAGCCTCATCAGTATAGAAAAAAAAAAGTAGCACACGTACAATACTTTTTTTTAATGCTTTTATTCTTTTTTTGTTTTTGTATTTTGGGGTTAGTTTAAGAAATAACATCAAATTTGAAGTTAAAGAAATGACGTTTAGGTTGTTTTTACTGCTATCAAATGTCAAAACAGGTCAAATTTGACGCGAACAGTTTTATGAGGGTTAAAGAAACCGTGTTACATATTTATAATGAGTGTTCAACTTGCATTACATTTTTAAATAAGGTTAATATAATATATTGTTATAATTAAAGCTTATTAAAAAATCTTATTGGATTAAATAACTGTCCACCAGTCCCCTTTTGGATTTTATAGAGACGTTATATTATATTGTTAACAAACCGGAACCCCCCCGGTCTGTGCACATACATTTCCCCCGGTACAGCGAAATTAGCTCAACAGCTAAATAACCAGAGCTTTGTGCAATATTTCACCGCTCTTAATCGTTTGTCTTTGACCAAAGATCGTCTCTGCTACTACAGAACTAGCAGCAGCACCCGAAAAGAAAACGACACAAGCTAACTCGGTTTCCCCACGCGACCGTTTATCCTGTTGTCCCGGTTTGAGCGCGTGCTTTAAAAACAAATATATCCTACCTTGTTAACTCACACAAATAGTGGGCCAGCTGATCGTGGCCCGACATCTTGCCAATGGAAATTTAACAACACATCACAAAAATCGCTTCCACTTTCCCCCTATGCTGTTTTCTTCCCGTTTCCCCCCCACGTGAACCTCAAACTCTATAGTGTTTCCCTTTTATCTGGCGCCACCCACAGGCGAGGAGGTGTTACGCCACTGGGGTTTTCTACGATTAAAAAGAAGAAGTGCAGAGCTGACGTTACTTTAGACTTTTGCGATTTGTACTACATAAGTTAATAAAGTTGTTTACAATGTAACAGTAGCAGTTAACTAAGCAGAGGGCTCTGCCTCAGCTGACCCGTTCCCTTGTTCTTCTCTAAAAGTAAAGTTCAACTTCTAAATAAACACAGTTTCAATCAATATCATCTCCCTGCCCTCATACTTTGAGCGGATCTCTGCCTTTTCCAGTCCAGCTGGACCCTGACATCATGTCGACTCCTTTGATTTGGTTTGTTTTCATGAATTTGAGCATACTACTGAAGCCAGGATACTGCACAGAAACAAGGTGAGGCATCTTAGCAGAG